TTTTTAGATTAGTTTACAATAAAATTGAAACAAATTATTTTAGACATGATCAAAACCCTCTTCACTATTTTTAAGAAAATTCAATATTAATCTTTCTATATAAAATAAATTTTAATTAGCAATATATTTCATAGAAAAAAAAGATACCTCTGTATTATGTCACTAAAATAAACATAAATCAAGTAATTCAACTAAATGAAATTTCATTACTAAACTGCTTCACACAATTTCGGCAGATCAAACAAAGGATTTCTAAGGAAGCAGAGAAAAACTTTGATAAATGAATTTTTATAACGATTTTCTTAAAATACATACATTTTACAAACTATTTACTTTAAAATCTAACGCGTGGTATTCACAGATATTTAATAAAATTCATTAATCTTTTTAAAAATTTCATGTAATTTTTTTATATACTGCTATGAAACGTACACTAATATTATAAATCTTTAATTAATAAGAATTACCTGTAATTAAAACTTTCATGATGATAAAATATGAAATCCCGCGCAGCCAAATACAGAAAATGGCTTCCTCTAACAATAGCTTTTGTTTAAACAACGCCAATTGCTTTGGCGAAAAAGTTTGGTCACACAATCAATATAGGGTTATAAGAAGATTGATGGATAAAAGCTAGCGTCAAGCTCACTCCGCCCAGTTACCAATTCCTAAATTGACCAAATATCATTTAACTGCACTATTTTTATTGAAAAAACAAAGTAAGCTAGAAGCTTAAATGATATGTAGTATACTATTTAGTAAGCTATAAGCTAAAATAATTTTTAGGATATATTCCTTACGACCTATCTTCCTACCCATCCTGAATAATAAACAAATTGAAGAAAATTGGCGCGAGTGTTTAGAAGTGAAACATGTCTGTTGAACATTATAGCTTTAATTTTCTAGAGGAAATTTATGTTTTTATGATTGATATTTTCTTGCTTTTAAATATTTAATGAATATTACCCCTTTATTATAAAATGGATTCGTATTTTGATATTGAAGCTGTTAATAATTTGGGGACTTTGAATTCATTTGGGGCTTCATTTACTTCTCTTAAATTAATTGCACACCCTCATTTTCACTCAAATAAATTTTTATATGTTTTCTTCGCTAGTACGAGTCAGATTACTTGCTATAAACTTTTTGATAAAAAGCCAATTTTGAGTTCCGAACATAGTTCAAAAGAAAATATTCATAATTCATCACTGGCTACATTTTTACATTTTCAGGTAACTATTTTTTATTGATTTTTTTTAACTCTATTTTTTTAAAATTTGTGTTGTTTATTTCAAATTTCTTCTACGATTATAATGTTTTTTAAACTAAACATAAAGTTTTAAGTTATCTAATAGTTAAAGTTATAAGTGTTTGTTATAATAATTCTCCCATGGGTAAATTTTCACATTGGTGCCTGCCTCTTAATAATCGCGAAGTCTTAGTTACGGGATTACTTTTCTTAATTCTTCCATTTGTCATTGTCTTATTCTAATATACTGCACACAGTGGATTTTTGAACCTTTGGAAGTCATTTACTAGTACAGTAGGGAACCGATTATCCGGAACGATCGGGACCATCGCTATTCCGGATGACTGATTCTTCCGGTTTTCTGAATCGCTACAAAAAGCGGTTTTTTTATTGTTAAACCCAACTAAAATTAGAAAAATATTTAGAAATAATCTTAAAAAGAAGAAAAAACGATGAAGTAATACACTAATGTTTATTTCTAAAATGATGGTAAGGTAAACATCTTTCAAAAAAGAAAGAAAAATCCTAAAATCTTATGAATAAAAATATTTTTTTTTTTAAATAGCGGGAAAATTTGTCGAATTTCGTTCGGGTTTTTCGGTTTTTTTATTTGCGGATAACGGGTTCTGTACTGTATAATAACTAATATTATAATCGTATAATAATAGAATAATAATGTTATTGTTTTCGTATGTTTGTTTTAGGCAGAGGTATGCGATTGTTCAATAGAATAATAATATAATAGTATAATAACTATAATTATAGTATAATAACTAGTAGGTGTTATTTACTAGTATGATTAAGCAGTATAAGCACTTTGGTTTGCTATATATATTGTATTACTATATCTTAGCTTCTGAATTAATTCTTTTTTTCATTTTAAAAGTAAGTAAATAAAAGCATTTTACGATTGTTAAATAAGAATGACAGCATTGTGGTGTTAGTGAGAGTTTTTTAAATTTTGCTTAGCCTGTATTAATACATTAGGATTTCATCATTACAAGCCACAAAATGCACTTTAATGAAACTATTCAACTTGTTAGCTTGTTTTAATTTCTATATTTTCAGATTTATGTAAAAGTGTTTACATAAACATAACCTTAATGATTTAACATAATAATTATTAATTTGTTCTTATCTTTTTTTCTTTTTTATTATCAAATCATAGCTTGATTCATTAATTTCAGCTTTGTATCTTGTTATCTCATGTTTCAAAGACCATCTCCAATATTGTGCAGCTTTAATACGATCTAAATAAAGTACCTACCTATAGTGCAGCTGACAGGAGAACTCCTCCAGACACCCGTCTCGCGTTGTGGCTGGTACTATGGTTACGAGGAAAGGTCACTTCGAATAGGGCTGTGGGGTGAATAGTTTTGTCTTAATCTGAGCTATAGGTCGTCATGAGTAAACCAATCGACACCTTCTTTCCTCCATTTCACTCCCATTAGAAATGTGCTCTCGCTTGTTACCATAGCAGCAGACAGCCCCAGACTTTCAGTCTGGAGGAGTTCTCCTTAAGGCCGCACTATACCTGTCATCTCCTCTGTTAACTGTAATTTTAACAGAATTATCTTTATATCTCTTCTGTTAGTTAATTGTAATTTTAGATTTAAAAAGTCACAGTTGTGTGACTATTACTTTAATCATGAGCCTTGAGTTCTTTAACATTGATATTTAATGTTTGTTAAATTTAATAATTTATTTATTGTTAAATTGTGGTACAAATATTCACACTCATAATTTTTTTATCCTGTTGTAGCAAACATTACGCTTTTGTGTACCTCTTTTGGATATAACTTCAACTAATGATGATGTCTGGGCTATAGGAAATAACTGCCTTTTGTCTATTCGGTAAAAATTCAGATTTAAATGTTTGTTTTAAAAATTAAATTGTTCCTCAATTGAATGTCTATTTATCTTTAAATTGGCACAACTTCTAATACTTAAATTTAATAAGTTGTTTTTAAACTGGCATTATATTTTGAAAATAATATTTTTTAAAACTGCTTTTATAGTAGATGCTAGTTTTTTGTATGTTTTAATTCGTTTCTAATTCTCATGTTGCTTAGTTTAGTTTTTTTTCTTTCTTCCTTAAAGAGCTTTCTTAAGTTTAATCTATTTTCTACCAAAAATATTTGCGCAAATTAGCAAAGTGTAGTTAAATAAAAGACTAAATAATATTCCCCCCCCCCCCATAGGAACGTTTTTGAGAATAAGAATTCCGTTCAAACTGATGATTGCATGGAACCATCTATGAAAAGAGAATATCCTTTTTATGGCTTTGAAACACTCGTGAGTGCAAACAGTTTTCAAGAGCACATTTTCCAAAAGAACTTTTACTGCTTCAAGTGTGATTTAATTGAGAATAGTATTTTAGTATGTCATGAAAATACAGAGCTATCTTCATGGCAAATTGTCTTAGTCATTAACAGTTCTACTTCTACACGGAATAATTTGGAATGTATTAAACTTTTGAGCTTTCCTTCATCATATTCAAGTGAAAATGCATTGTGGGGAAGTATGTATATTTAATTATTATTATACTTAAGTATTGTGTATCTGATTTTTAAAAACTATTTAAAGAGATTAGAAGGAAGATAGAATTGAATTGTATTGTTTGCTGAGGGAACAAGGTTTAATTCTTACTGATTTTTGCAATTAGAAATATTTTTTTTTCAGGCATAAGAGGGGGAGAAGAACAAAAGTCTTAAAATGCCTGTTAATTGTTAAGATTTATACATAACTCATGATTAAAGAGAATAAAGTAATACTTTAGTAAAACATCTAAATTATTTAGAAACATTAGTAAGAAAAGGTGAGACATTTAACATAGCATTTTCCAGATATGGAGTAAATTCTAAGAGCTTAATATTTCCACCATAGTTCATAGTTCTTAGGAATAAAAAGGAGTAGGGCGCTTTGAGTTTTGTATACTTAACATTGAAAAAATTTATCAAAATGTGTAATATAAGTGAATTTTATGTTAAACAATTTTTAACGTATCCAAAAACAATTTTTATTTTTAACCTATGAGAATAATTCTAACAGAGTAAATATTTGTAATAGTAATTAAACATATAAACATAAGATAATTTTAGCAATATGTATTTATTGTTTATTTAAGAACACAGAACAAATTTTTTTTAAAAATGGAATTTGAATAAAAAGGCAGTGTTTGTAAGGGATGGATGCTTACCTTAACAAGAAGGGCAAAGAGGACACATTTATTGGGATGAAAGGGCAAGCAGTGTGGGCTGCCCTTCAAAAAAACGTTAAAGGAGAATACTGCATAGTTATTAATATTATCAGTAATTTTTTGAAATTTTCAAATAAATCATGTTGTTTTCATTGCAATAACTTTTTAAAAATACTTTAAGTAAGTAAAGTTTGTATTTTATTTAAAAGAAATTATTTAACAAAGAAGAAAAAATTCATTTGATTTTATAAAATTCCTAAATAAACTAGTGCTTGTGCTAAAAAAATTGATATCAAAGTATATTGAAATAGTAATAATTTATAATTATAATTTGTAAATTGCCCTTCACAACAAAAAAATTTCAACTTTTTTATTTATTTGATTAGACTATTTCCTCTGGGCTGTCTGAATAAAAAAAATCTTAGAACTTTACATGTATTGTTATTAGTCAACAAAATTCATGCTGAAATGAATATTTTACATGTTCTAACATCTTTTCTAATTGCATATTAATGAAAGCATTTTAAATATACCAATCAATTAATCTAATAAACTAAAAGGAAATTGATAACATAGTTGCTTACATCAACACTCTTTTTTTTCAGTATGAATAAGTATTATTAGCAGAGAAGTATAATTAGCAAAGAAGTATTAGGCATTGCTAACAAAGAAGTAAATTAATAAATATTAATTAAATAAATTAAGAACATTATTATTAACTAAGAAGCATTACATTATTTAACACTCAGCAAGTGGATGCTCTTCAATATTTTATTTTTAAAATGATGATATAAACTTTTATCTTTGCTATTTTTGTGCACAGCTTTAACTTTATGAGATTAACTTTATGAGATTAACTTAAAAAAAAAAAATTAGTATAACTTTAGGAGTAAAAGAGAATAAGCTAACTTTGGTTCTTATTTGTTTTCATTGTTAAATTCTATAACATTTAGGTCTTATTATATATTATCAATTTTCCTTTTTTCTCATCCCTTTTGGCGCATATTTATTAACCTAGTTTAGTATCTTGGGGATTTTTGTCAAAATTCAAGCGGTGCTTAATATATATTTTAAATATTTCAAATGGAATATTACAATTCTCGGTTGTACCCTGGGCAGTATAATTTTTGTTCCTCCTTATTTATGATGATATTTTAAAATCTGTTTTAAACTAATATATTTAATCTAATTTTTAAGCACTGGTATTTATAGTGATTTTTTAAAAATCTATTTTAGGCTAATACAATGTTACATCTTGATCAAAGAATTGTGTTATATCTTTATTTATTTTTCAAGGTAACAAAGAAAGAGTTGGGAAACCAGAAGTCTTATTTTCTGATTCCAAGCATCCTCTATGGAAAAATATTTGTGATTCTAAGACCAGATCACTTTCAAACTATGTGGTCTTAATAGCACAACCAGATGGAACCATTCTTTATTCTTTGTGTTCATGGGCCTGTCAAAGGAAAGAATTCAAACAAGTATCTTCATTACAAAAATTGTGCAAACTGGAGGAGCCTATTTTATGCTTTTGTTTCAGGGAAAACATTGTAAAATCCATAAGTAATTACTTTTGATTTATATTTTTATATATTCATTTGAATCTGTGAGCTTTTTTTTAATGTTTTATTTAAGTTGGAGCTTTGTAAACAATAGATAGCATACCTAGCTGAGGTCGTGAAATTAATATTTTGGATAAAGAAATTTTTTCAATAGAATAACAACGAAGAATTAAACTGGAAATTGGGGATATTTCTGATTGCTATGTCAAAAAAGAAGCTCTGGTCCGGACAAAAATTTCAAATAGATAAATATTGGTTTATTAGAAGTTCAATGGTTTTGACAAAAAGTTAGTAAAAAGACAAAAAAAATTCATTAAATGGTATTTTATCTAGAAAATTTAAGGTTTGAAAAAATATTTCTCTTTCTTTGTAAAATTTTAGTGTTTAGCTTGCATCAAAGCTCCCTTTCTGAAAATTTTCTTATTTCTTTTTAAAATGTTACTTTGAGGTCTCCTTTGCTTTAAAAATTTTTTTTATCAGCTGTTTTAACCCTTTGCTTACGGTGTACTATGCTGTACCATCACCTGCGCTCCACATGTTGTACCAGCTGTAAGCAAAAGGTTAGAATTTTGTTTAGAAGATTTTTTAAGAAGTTTTGAGATTGATTGCATTCAAAAATTTATAATTTTTCCTTCTACTGAGATGGGAAAATTCTAGAAAATCAACAGGGACTGAAAATATTATTTTGTGTTATTTTTATTGCAATTTTTTCATTGAGTTGAAAATTTATAAAAATTATGCCTTGGGAAATTGAGAGCTTGATTGATGCAATTTAGGCAGATGAGTCAAACTAGATTCAGTAAGAATGTTTCCTAAGTTTCTAAAGATAATTAATTAAATATGCATATTTTTTTGTTAAGATTTTATTCTGTTTTCTAAAAATTTGTGTCTCTCACAGAATAATTTGAAATATTGATAAAAGAATTATTATTAAATAAAGAATTATGACATCACGAGAAAACTATGAATTGATTTGTTTGAAAAGTCAACATTCAAATGTTTGTTTACATTTAAATTTAAAAGTTAAAATAATTTGGAGTGTGTTCCTCTGCCTCCTTGCTAAAAAACTTATCCAATGTTTCTCCCATATGCAGTGTTTCCAAGATAACATATTTCAGGAAAAAACAAAACTGTTTTACTCTTCTCAAAATAACATAAATGCAACTTTCTACGTTCAAAACAATCAGAGTGTTAAACTAAGGTCTACAATACTCTGACAGAATTCTGTAGTTTTTTTTTCTGTTGAGTAATCTCCTTTATTGTTTTTAAAATTTAATTATTAACTAGATAAATTTTTATTAAGTCTATATGCTTATTTTTTAGGATCAAGTTTCATGATTATAATTGGAGAAAAAGGTAAATTACTTTTAGTAACATCTGAAAAACTGCCCAGTGATGCTGATTCGAATCAACTTGTAAATGGTCTATGGATTTTATCTTGGCAACTGCCTTCATCTGTTCAGAGTTTCATCATTTTGGATGATTGCATAATTTATTGTTCATTTAAAGGAGAAGTATGGATAACTAAGTTTTATGCAAATGATTCTCAGGAAGATGGTATTGGGAATCAGTGCATAAAAATTACAAATAGAGCATCTGATTTTAAAAATATATGCAGCCTGTCTTTGATTAACAAAGAAGATGGTGAGAATAATTTAAAGATTTAAAATTATTTGTTCATATATTTAAAATTTTTATAATTTATTTTGATCTTTTCATATCTTAATTTATTTGGACTCTGATGTTGTTTATAAGGGTGTTTTTACCTTTCCAAAACAGATATTTTTTCACAAATTTCTTCTAAAGTTGTAAACTTGTTCTAAACTTAGAAGAACTTCAAGCTGCATTTTTTTTTAAACTTAACTAAATCGTCTTCAAAAATTCTAGTTTTGCTCCTAAAACTAATTTTTGCTGAAAAAGATAAAGATTTTATGGTTTTATTATTGATGAATTTCATTATTATGATAAAGTTTTTTCTAGTTTATTATATTTTTAGTTCCAAATGACACTAAAAGTAGTAAAACTGTCATAAAAACTATTCCAAAAGTGCAAAATTTAAGTTGAAAAACTTTTTTTTTATTAAATGTTTTTTCTTAATCACTTTAAAAGAATGGTTAGTCTTGCTTCTAAAATTAATTTTGGTTGAAAAAATATATGATTTTAAGCAATTATGTAGGATAAGTTTTTTTTTCTTTTTCCGTTTATCTCATTTCCACTTCTGAACAATTTCATAAGTATGGAAACTGACACAAAAACTATTCCAAAAATGCAAATTTTAAGTTAAAAACTTTAATTGCTTAAAAATTTTTCTGAAACACTTTAAAAGAACCATAACATATTAGTACTAGGTTTTGAAATTTCTTATATTCAGATCTTGATTTCTCTTAATATCTGATAACAGCATTAAAACATATGGGAGAGTGGCGTACAACCATGTACTTCCATTGGGAGGAAATTAGTTCTGTTTTCTAGCAGACAAACTCTGAATTACACTTTACTAGTTCAGAAGAAAGACCTACCATATTAATTACCGTTGTTAATTAATTCACAGCATCTGTGAAGATAAGTTTGTTTTACTATGTGAACTCTAATGTTTTCTTGTTTTTAAGCTATCCTTATTTATTGGTCATAAGAGTCATAAAAATAGTTTTTAGTCCAACTTATTTACTAAAGATTAATACCCTGACAAACAATAAGAATTTTGTCTAATAGTAGCACTGTTCTGTTTTGTTTCGATAGCCTCTGTGCTATGGCAGTGGAGGCAGGGCAGTGGAGGAGGAGAAAACAATTATACATCCAAAGCTAAACAAAAGTTTTATGGCCCTAATAAAAAATTTTTTGCACGCTTTTTCTTCAAGCACGGAAAGCCTTATTTTCATATTTTGTAGAATTTTTGAAGATCCTTTGTGCAAAATTGTAGTTTTTATATGGATATAAAAAAATTCTTTGCAATTTTCTTCAAAAAAAAAAACACATATTAATAAGCAATATTTCTTGTAAGGAATTTTGGTTAGGCCCCAGGACAATTGTTTCAGGTCATAATCTTCTTAATTTGTCCTTTAAAATAGAAATGTCAGCTACTTTTTCACTTAAATTCTAGCGTTTCTAATTTTCCTTTAGTGCTTACATGTGTATCCGGTTTTACTTTACTAGTAGAGTAGGACTGGATGATTTGACTTTTTCTAGAAAACAGTCATTTATTAAAAAATGATTTATCATTCTCATGATTTTTTTGAAACATCGTCAATAATTTTTTAGGAATGATATATTGTACACAACTAAACAATGAATATCTTATCAATCTAACAATGAGTATCCATTTTTAGTTTGACTAAACAATGAATATCAGTTTTTAGGTTGAACAGTTTAGTTCCAACAAGCTTTTGAATCTTAGCTACCAGATATTACACCACATATTAAGTAGTGTTAAAAATCATGCAGGGATAGTTTAATTACATATTAATTATACATTCATAGAGTTATAAAAGAAGTTATCTGGACAAGTTTTTTTTTATTAATTTTTTATTAAATTTCATAAAATTTAATTTATTTTCATTTTGTTATTTAAATGAGAGCATAAATATTTGTTTTATAACAAAAATAATCTTATCCTTTTCAGCAATTATCTTTTTAAAATCTTTTATATCTATCATGGAATAGAATCTTCGATCATATAACAGAATTGTCCAAAATTTAAAATATATTATTTATTTTTATTATTGAGTCTGTACCTTTAGATTATTGTCTCCTATAATTAGAGATTAATTTGAATACATTTTCTTGTTATTTAAAGATAACTATTTTAATTGCAGGGCTTTTCATAATGGTTACAAACACTGGTAATATGTATTTGATGAAGTATTCAAATAAAACAAGCCTTCTTAACAATAGATCACTGCCTGTTTTGATGAATGGAATATTGGAACAGAGTATGTTGTTGAAGGATTTAGCATCAGTGAAACATTCCCAAAGTCGATTATTTGTTGCATTATCAACATTTGCTAATATAAAATTTGGAGGTAAATTGTTTTTTAAATACCCTAAATTAATTTAAAACTAATTCATATTTAACCATACGAAATCATGCTTTTCAGAAGTATGTAATTAGAATTATATTTTAATGTCATTGTTTTCTTTTAAGAGTAAGTTGAATTGAAGAAAAATAATTACATTTGTTTCATATTTTAGTTACACACATACTATGTATGTACATACATACACATGCAGTCAAACCTCTTTTGAAAGGGGGGTTTCCACGGTCTTTAAAAACTGCTTAATTTTTATTTTGGAAAATAAGGACCCTTAAAAGTATTTAATTTTGGTACAAGTTTTTTAAAAGTTCTTAATTTTTCAGCTTCACTATAGTTGATAGGAGCAATTTTTCAGATGAATTTTTTAAGACAAAAATTGCTCTTTTATCACCTAGAATTTGACCATGCATCGAGGGTAGAGCATTTTAGAGAGACAAAAAGAGATGTGTGTGAGGGGGCTACAAGCAAGAGGAAGAAAGCGTATCCTTTCATTAATATATTCTGCCTTTTGCCTGGAATGATACTCTCAGAGGAGAGTGAAGCATTCTAAAAGAAAATAATAGGGTTTGGACAAGGAATTAACAGCACAGGGAAGAGATAGTGCGTTTTTTGGGGGGGAGGACAGTTCTAAAGTACCTAAGTAAAAGACCCACACTGATCTTCAAAATCGATAGAATTCAAGAAATTCAGATCTACTGGTAACCCATCTGCTTATAAGGAATGAAGTAAAACCCTAAGAAAAGAAGTACCAGAAAAATGTTTTGAACTAGAATCCATAATGAAAACTATTTTTTCAAAAAATTTTGAAGAATTCAATAAATTTGTATAATATTTCAATGTGTAATAAATAACTGTAAATTTATATAAAGCAGTAACATTTTTAAAAATTAATAATTCTACTAAAAATTAAACAGATTTGTAATAAACAGGGTTTGAAAAATCCTGGGTCACCTAGGTTTTTTTTATTTTTTTTTATCAAAAACCTAAGGTTTATAGAGTTTTTGATGAAAACCCTAAGTTTTTTCAAAAATACTTTAAATTTTTATTCCTGAGTTCTAAATAAGAATGCATGATTTGCTCCTGACAAGAAAGTTAAATAATTCATAACTATTTATAACTTGTTTTGTTGCAGTGTAAATTTTTTTTTAGAACTTTTAGATTGTTATGCTATTATTTTTATTTCTTAAGGATAAGCAGAATGTTACATAAAACTAACTTTAAATTACTCGATTAAAAGATCCCAAACTTTTTGTTAATAATGTCTATTATAAAATTCAAACTTAGATTTTAATTATAATTTTATTATCGTTTAAATATCATGTTATTAACATTGTCACTTAATAAACTGTTTTTGTTTTTTTTTATATTTAACTTTTGCTTGCTTTAAAATTAATTCATGTTTTTTGCCAGATTATTTAGTAATATTATGTAAAGTTAATTCCTAATAACAGTTTTGGCTGGAAATAATTTTATGTTAAACACAATATGAAAATAAACATAAGTATAAAAATATAGTTATAAAAGTAAACATCACACATTTGCTGTTTAATAATAATTTCAAATTGGTTAAGTTATGTACCATTTTCAACATATTTTTCATGAAATGTTTCAATATTTTTTTAGTAAACGTTTCCTGATAAGATATTACAGGATTACTTTATAATAAAAGAATAGCACTTTCAGTTTTAAACTGTTAATTTGCGATATAAATAAAATATTAAATCATAATAATAGTAGAGAATAATATTAAGAATGATAGAGGATGATAAAGAAATTTCTGAACAATGATTGTTTGTTGGTGTAATTTAAACAGTATTTTTCACCTCTTGCTTGCCATAATTTAAAGAGTCTTTACTAAGCTTATTTTTCCTCAACGGTTATCCCATACTCGTCATTGTAAAAAAAAAAAAAAGAGTTATTCTTAAGCATTTATAAGAAATCAAACATGGATGCAATTAGACAGTTCAGTTCTGCTCACTAAAGTTATCTTACATAGGTGGTATGCATGAATCTTGTTTCAGCATTCACAATGGGTGGCAATTCTTAATTCAACTTCGGTCACTTCTCATTTTATTCAATTAGAAGAAATTGCTTGTGTGTGCGTTAAAGAAGTATCTTGTGCATGTGTTTGACCAACATTTATTGATTTTATTTTTACCTTTTTAAGTTCTGAGTTTTTTTAAGTGGCCACCTCCTAACATTGGCCGCAAAGACTCAGTCCCATAAGAGTCTGTGGTTTGCAGGTTTTTCTGTTTATATGTCTAAGAAGCTATTAAGATTGAAAGAAAACTGAAATTTACACAAAATTATTAAATTTTATTAAATGTGTAAAAACTGCAAGTACGTTGAACCTCCTTAAACTAAGGTATTTACTCAAAGAGAACAAGAAAAGGACTCATAAGACAAAAAATTAAAACTTAACAAAAAGAAAAACTATTTAAAAAGATTTTTTCTCCAAAAAAAAAAAAAGACAAAACTAAAAATTCATAAAAAATTATAAAAATTAATAAATTAAAAATTAACTGCGAAAATATATGATTTCTTTTTAATATATTTTTTTCCATTTGCTATTTATTATTTTGACCTGATCTGACCTGATATTATATTTTGCTATTATTTCTTGTTATTCATTATTATTTTAAATAACTTTTTTGTTTTTGCCTTTTGTTTAATTATACAAATATATATATATTTTTTTCATATTCAAACCCATAATGTTGAAATATTAGAGCATTAAATAGAAATTATTGTAATCTTATTAATAGAAACACGCCTTATTCTATACTTATATCCAATACTTGTGCCTATCCAATACTTATTCTATACTAATGTAAAAGATGGGCTGTTCAACATTGGTACTTAAAACGTTGGTACTTTATTTGTATATTTTGAACTCATTTAATCTGCTTTATAAATTTTCATTAAAAATATTATTGAATTGTAACTTCTTCAAAACTAATCAATAATTTTTACTATATAATTGATAATTATTAAAATCTTTTGTACAAAATTATTTTTTAAAGTACATATATATTTTTTAATTGTAGTAAGTGTTTTTATTTATTTAAATCTGCATGTTTAAAAATATGAAATTATTGTGGAACACCATTATTAGTTACTAAATTTATACACAGATAGATTTAAGGGCCGTTCAAAAAGTACGCACACGAAAATGGAGAAATTTTAACCAGCTTCCCCCTTTGTATATTACCGTACATAAGGTCTTACCCCTCCCCCCCCTTAGAATACACACATTTTATTAGTCAGCCCCCTTTTTTCATAAAAATTATGTGACATTTTGCGAGACAACTTTTTTTGAAAACCGATTTACTCATTCTAACAAGTGGTCGGCGTGTGAAAAAAAATACAAGAGCAAACATATGTATAATACATGTGTAGGAAAAAGTCAAATTTGAATTTGGTGTATGCTTATAATGCACGTACTTTGTATAATACCTCCTCCACTCTCCATCATACAAAACCGTAGAAAATAGCAAATCCCCCCCCCCCTTCGNTTCAACATTGGTACTTAAAACGTTGGTACTTTATTTGTATATTTTGAACTCATTTAATCTGCTTTATAAATTTTCATTAAAAATATTATTGAATTGTAACTTCTTCAAAACTAATCAATAATTTTTACTATATAATTGATAATTATTAAAATCTTTTGTACAAAATTATTTTTTAAAGTACATATATATTTTTTAATTGTAGTAAGTGTTTTTATTTATTTAAAACTGCATGTTGAAAAATATGAAATTATTGTGGAACACTATTATTAGTTACTAAATTTATACACAGATAGATTTAAGAGCCATTCAAAAAGTACGCACACGAAAATGGAGAAATTTTAATCACCTCCCCCCTTCGTACATTACCGTACATAAGGCCCTTAGAGTACGTACATTTTATTAGTCAATTATTTCTTGTTATTCATTATTATTTTAAATAATTTTTTTGTTTTTGCCTTTTGCCTTTCCATAAAAATTCTGTGACATTTTTTTTGCCAGACAACTTTTTTGAAAACCGATTTACTCATTCTAACAAGTGGTCGGCGTGTGAAAAAAAATACAAGAACAAACATATGTATAATACATGTGTAGGAAAAAGTCAAATTTAAATTTGGTGTATGCTTATAATGCACGTACTTTGTATAATACCTCCCCCACTCTCCATCATACAAAACCGTACAAAATAGCAAATCCCACCCCCTTCGGGATGTACATATTTTTTGAACGGCCCCTTAAGTGCTTAACTCATAGTTGCCAAATAAAATATGTTCTTCACATACTTAAAGAAATTAACTAATTATATCAAATATATAATTTGTATTAACGTATACGTGTACGTATATAATTTGTATTAACGTATAATAATAAACTTTATAAATTATTAAAAATTACATGGGAATCCCATCATTGGATCAAAAGTTTTTTGTTGTTTACTTGACTATCTGTGCATTAATAAAGGCATGATTCTATATGATATGTTTGTAATCTTTTATAGCAATTAATAAACTTCGTTTGGATTGTAAAATAACTGAAGTAGAAGACTTTTCAAAAAAGTTATTAATAAATATAAGCTTGGATGGATTACAGCACTTCAACCTGGATACCGAACTTTGGATGATTTCCGCATCAATCTTCAGCAATTTTCAGACAGATTCAGCAATTGTTACAAAATGTTCACCTTTAGTATTAGGTAATTTATTTAAAGATATATATATATTTTAACAAATCACTTACAGTTATTTTTGTCAACACGATTAAATTTTTCTCACTTTCTTTTCAGGCCAAACTTTGCATCTTGAAGTCTTAGAATCCAATTTTTGTCCATCTTACAGCTCTCTTTTTCCTTTATACCTTGAAGTTGGTCTAATTCTAAGAGGGCCAAAAAGTTTTATGTCCATTGACTGCTTTACCGACATAGTAAAAAAATTACCTCTTTATATCAAGACTAATACTGCTATATTGACTGAATTATATTTATTAAAAAATAAGTCTAAAATTCTCCAAAATTCAAGGCTCAAGAATGCCCAAAATATAAACATTTTACAAGAAATATCAAATAATAATGCCAGAAATCCTTTATATAAAAAAGAAAATCATGTTCCTGAAGTATTTATTCCAATTTTCAATAAATACACTTATTGTCTCTTAGAATCTACAGCTGAAGAGTTTGTTAAAAATCTAAATAAAGGTATGGTAATATTATTTTATTAAAATATCATGTTTTGATTAAATAATTTATAATTATAAATGTTTTAATTAAAATTTCTCTTATCCTAATGTGTTATAAATGAGAAGTAATATACTATGTTAAACTAAATATTGAATCACTTAAAAAGTTGCTTAAAAATTATGTTTTTCTATTTGTTAAGTATGTATAGGTTCATAATACAATTGCTACAAAGATAGTAGTATAGGCATAGATCTTTAATTGCTCTATGATAAATTTACATTGAATTTTTATATTTCCTGTTTATAATACGACTTGACTAGGGAAACGTTACTATTTCCTTTTTTATCAAGATTTTTGCTACCCTAAATAGTTACTAAATCCAAGATTGAGAAAGATAATAAAATATTTTATTATAAGTATATTAGTTTTACTATATGTATAGATTAAATCTAAGTAGTTTCATTATGTAAAATGATGTATGTAGAACATAAGTTTTAGAGTTTATTTTATGTAGAAGTTGAAGATTTCTTTTACATTATTTAGGATAATTAAGTTGAAATTTGATTTCTTACATACATGTTCTTTTAGGTCTGAAAATGTCTAATTAGTTTAGTTGAACAATTCATATGTAAAGTTGCATTTCTTTATGAAGAAATAACGATCCAGTCAATATTTTGAATGTTTCCCTTTTTATTGGTATCTGTGCGACTGTAAATTTAACGATCTGAAAAGAACAGCTCTGCCAGTTCTGAGGGTTAACAAGTATTGGTGCGCTAGGGCATTATCTGTAACTTAAATATTAGAAATTTCTTTGGAACAAAAAATTCAAAATTTTCAACTTGTCACATGTCAGTCATATTTTAAAATAATTTTAAGAGTTATTATCGATAATGTTTTAAACAATTAAAATATTGGTTAATAGTATTAGGATTTAAATTCGTCTTCTGGCAAATTTTGAGCCCTAATGAATTGCTGGACTTTACTAATCATAGAATCATTTTGATATTTTCTTTTAACAATTTTTTTTAAATCTCATATTGCTGTTTCTTTCTGAAATCCTATTTTTAAGATTAATTTATAAAAATAATGCTTTAAAAAGTAATATTAATTTAATACATTTGGAAATCTTTTAGAGGTAGGATTGGAGGAGTCCATTTTCCAGGCAATTTTGGAGAGAGGCTCTTTATCACCAAACAGCGATGGTAATAACTTACTGTGTCGAGATCAGTCTGTTTCGTTGTCTGTGTTCCAAATAGAAAAAATAGTTAACATTAATATTACTACTGAATCTATGACTATATTGGGTTTGAAAACAGCAATTGCAGAACTTCTCCTAAGCAATCAAGTCAGTATATTTTGCATAATTTCTTCTAGTTTAAATAACTAAATTCAGTAACTTTAGAATAAAAAGTTATAATTTGAGTAACAGCATGCTCCCAAAAAATGACAATAATTAAAAAATTCTTGAGAGTGCTAAGTAAAAAAGGAATGCCTGAATACCTTTTAATCGAATGTCTTTTTTCCTATTTCTGCCAAAGGTATTTTGAGTTATGATGTCGGGCAAAAAAAATTAAATTTTTTGATATAAGCAATTTATTTTATTTTATAACCATTGTTGAACAGCCGACCCAATTTTGGGTTTATGACAACTAATGTTCAACTCCGTAGCCTTGTAATTTTGAGCCAATCCAGAAGACAAGGAAACTCCTGGAGGTATGGTTTGCTACAGGAACATGGAGGACTTGACTCGACAGATTTAACATGCATCAGTCACCATTTACTACACGTGAAGTCTTCGAATGGCGGACATTGAACCCACAGCCTCTTGAATGTGGGCTCAGTGCCTTACCAATCGGGCTATATCGGCCCCAAACGTTTTGTTGGTAACAGATTTGGCTACTTTTTTTGGCTACTTTTAAATTAAATTATAAATAACTCTTAAGAATTATATTTTTCATGAAATTATCATCGCTTTACAATTCTGTGTAATTTTTTTTAAAATTTTGTTAGTTAGCTTCTGAGATAAATTGCAAAAATGGTGAAATTAACATTAAGGGGTTCAAACTTTTGAATGCAATCCTGAACTAACTATTTCTACCATATTTTCCCGATTATTATTACTCCCATATATTTAAAAGTTAAAAATCCAAAATGGTAAAAAGAAAAAAAAGGTATGCTCATTGAAAGAGAAAATTTTTGTGCCTAATTTTGAAATTTAAAATATTATGTGTACTTATTAATTCGCAATCAATTCCTAAAAACATGGCAATGTTAAAACATGGAAATCTGATCAATACATTAAAAGTCATCTAAAAGTTCCATTTTGGTACATGCATTTTCACTGTCAAATGAACAAAACTTTATGTTCATTAGTTATAAAATTAGCTGATAAGTTTATAATTATCAAGTTATTAAATAAATTTATTTATACTTTATTCCATTAATTAATCGCAAATATTTATTCTTTTGCAGCCTAAATCAATCTATGAAGCTTCCAACTGTGTTAGTATACCTGCTAATATTTTAAAGAAGTGTGAGGTGAGTATATTTAGTTTTATTACATCTATTTTTAATTATGAACCTGCTAGTAGAAACTCATCAGTATGGCAGCAGGTGTTGCAAACTATATTTCATTTCAGAATTTTTTAAAAAAGGAGAAAAATTGCTGCAACTTATTTTTAAAACATATCTACGCTTATTCCTAGTCAAAATTTTAAAGCTGTGCTTTAAATAATTCTGTAAAAATAAACTAAATAAAGTAGTACATATTAAAAAGAAACTCAAGAAATAATATTTAGTTCTGAATTTTTAGAACCATTCTTATTGCATTGATCACACCAGTCTTTCTAAATTACATCAATCTGATTATTAATTTCACATGAATATCATTCATATGAATTTTTATGAAAAAATTCTTATAAAATTATTGACATTTACCCTCTTTATCATATTTTCCATTACAAATTAAAGTTATAAATCAATTGTTTTGAAATGAATAAAGAGGGTAAATGTCTTTTGTTTATACTAGTTAAACTATTATGTATGCAGCAACAGTATTGGTGATTCAAAACGACTCCATAAGGTCTGTATTCTATAATTTGCTTTGTAGTGAGGAATTACAACAGTGATTGGAACTTCAAAAATATTTTTTTCCAACTATTTGTGTTTTAAATTTAGAATTTAAGTGATCATAATTCTGAATTATTAAAGTCAGTGGAATAAATAGTACAACAATTAGCAACTAGCTTTCTATTTCAAAACGGCAATATCATTATTGTAATTTTTATTATGCTTTCTATTTTTTAAGAAAATTTTTAAAATAAATTTATCAATTATAGCCTATTTTTTTCCTTCGTATCATGGCATCATTGAATTCCTCAGCTCGTAAATGCAAAAAGACAGCGTGACTCTATTATATGCCACATAACAATGTTAAACTCATTGAATTTAAAATCCGTCTCTTCATCTTGTGACGATTCTCAGTGTATGCGAATGTGTGCATTTCATGCCCACTCAATGCAAGTTATTTCTGTGAGAAATTCAGAGTATTCCCTTATTATATAAAATAATCTTATCATATTACCTTATTATGGAGCATTTTATGATCAAGAAATAAATTATTACTATTTAACAAGTGTTAAACAGCAAATTAATTATATTTCCTTTTTAATAAGTTAAATTTATTTTAATAATAAATTTTTTGTGAAACTTTGTTTCGTTAACATACACAATTAATGTAAAAAATAAGAAATAACCAATTAGAACTCTAAACAGTAATATAAAAAACAATATAAAAACTAATTTTTTACATTATCGCTTAGTATTCCATCACTTTTTATAGTAACCAAGAATTTAAAAAACAAATTTCTGAAGTTACAAGGGTAAATGAGAATAATTAAGTTCAAATTTTATCCCAATCAATAGAATTAGAAACTAAATTTGTTATAACAAATCTATGTTATTATAAAAAATATTTTTGAATTTTTTTATATTTTTTTAAATGTAACAATCTGTTGAGCTAACAAAAATGATTTCAAAGCAATTCGGGGAGTAGATGAGTAAAGGGAGAAGGGAGTTGAGCCTCCAATATCATAGATAAAAAATCACATTTTTTAAATAATGCATCATTAACATAAAGAGTTACGATTTGCAAAAAAGAAATATTAATGATAAATTTTTGTTTTTATAGGAGTTATCAAAAGAGTTAAGAAGTATGTATGGGCAAAATGTCAATGCTAATGATTTTCTAGGAAGAATTTTCAAAATATATTGTAAATTAAGAAAAGAAGTTTCAGAAAAATTACCCTTGTGATCTATGAACATATGCTAATATATACATAATATATTTTTCTGGTTAAGACAGTGTTGCAATATTTAAAAAGATAATGTTTCTAAGAAATATATTTGTAAGATTTAACTTGATTTTACAATCAAATTTACAATAATATATATTTATTTAAAATTGAAAGTGTATAATTTCTTAAATAATTTATTTGATGAATGCATTTAAAATTATTTGATGTTTCAAATCGGTGTATATAAAAAAGAACAACATTAGTGAAGCAGTTATAATAAAAATCTGTTGTATGTGTAAATGCTATTAACACATCGTGTATTCTATTATAAAATGTGTAATTCAGTTCTGTATAAAGTACAATGTGTATTCTATTCTATATATACAGTAAATTATTCTTTGGTTGATTTATACTAATTAGTTAAAACCTTTTTATGAATTTATTTTATACGAGTCATTAAAAGTGATAAATTATGAACTTTTTAAATCTGTTACAATTTAACTTCGCTGATATTTGTTTTTAAAGCAATTTTATTGTAAATTAAATCTGTGCCATGTATTAAAAAGGTTTTTAAGTTATTAAATCTTAAAAACTGATTTTTTAGTTAAGAAAAAGGCATACAATGATTTACTGTTTTGTGGCTTTTTTGCATAAGTTATTCAGTTCTATTGCTCAAATCACAAATTAAGAATTTTATTAATATGGATAATTTCTATGATTCAATGTCATTTGGAAATTGAAAAAATATGTAAAAAATTTATTTTAAAATATAAAATATTTAGTTACAATAAAATCTCATGTTTTTTTATTAATTATTCATCATTAATCTTTTCAGAATGTAAATTAAATTATTAAATGTTATTATGAGATTTGACAAAGTAGAAATTTTCATTTCTGGAAGTATATTCTGAGGAAAATATTTTAGGTTTTAAATTTCAGACAGCTATATTTTCAGTTTTTTTAAAAATTTATTTTTCTTAAATAATGTCTTAAAACTCGTTATAAATATTTTGTGCTTTAAACTATCTATAAAATGTTAATGTTATAAAGAAAAATATTTTAAGTTTCTTATACATTCAAGAAAAAGTATTTTTAGGCAGATAATGAATGATGACAAATCGTTAAAACAACCCTATACTGTTAAATTCTTATTATACAAGACTTAATCTTACTACACTTTGGCTACCTATCAGTCATTTAAATGTTAAATTCTTAATATACAAGACTTAATCTTACTACACTTTGGTTACCTAACAGTCATTTAAATGTTAAATTCTTAATATACAAGACTTAATCTCACTACACTTTGGTTACCTAACAGTCATTTAAATGTTAAATTCTTAATATACAAGACTTAATCTAACTACACTTTGGTTACCTAACAGTCAGTTAAACTGTCTCCAAAACGTTTCATCGTTGTTACAGCTTAAATTACCCGATTGCTATTACTTTTATGGATCTTGTTCAATTAAACAGCTCAATCAGTCTAATTCAATTACTGTTAGCTGCAACAAATCTAGTTGCTACAAAATGGCACTTATTTTTCCCATGCTATGTATCGTTATTTATAAAACATAAGTGCTTCTTAATAATGACAACTATTTAATCTAAAAAAAAAAAAGTAATAAAAATCTTAAAAATAAATTCTGCAAATATGAGCAAAAGTTATAGAAAATTTATTAAATATTTTTCAACATAAAATATATAAATCTTTGCAAACAATTTCAAGTTATTGTTTTATTCTAACATGTTTGTCTGCATAACAACTTTTTTCCTGCTTGAAGCACATTACTATCCAATTTAACTGAAAGAAAGAAAAAAAAAGTAAAAACACCAGATATTAATTAAAATATATTCATAAAAAGAAACATCAAAACTCTACTCACATAGTTTATGCTGTCCTTTCATAGGAATTTTCAATTTCAATTCTTGCGGATTTTCACAAATAAATACATAGGGTGAAGCACTCTCACCTTCAGGAAACTACATAAGAAAAGAAACGCTTTGCATTCAAAATAAGTCAATTATATCTCCAATAAAAATGCATTTATATTGCATTTTTTAAAAAGAATTTAACAAAATAAAAAAATATTTTTCTATTTACAGATGTTTGCTTTTAACATTTTTTAAACGCAACACCAATCAGATTCTTTATTATTAAAAAAAGCTGTAGAGTAGAATTTCTCAGCATCTAAGCCATTCTTAAATGTTGATAGCTTCTACTCGTTCAGGACAAAAACTGAAATGTTACTGTCAAGAATAGTCTTTTTAGAGGGGAGGGAAGGACTTTGAAAAACTCAAATGAAATATGAATATTATAAAATATTTCTGAAGGAATAAATAAGTTCTTTTAAAAATAAATTAAACAAATCAATGTGGTGATGGGATAGCCTGGTTGGTAGGGCAATGGGCGCATGTCCAAAAGGTCAAAAGTTCAATCCCCGCCAGCTGAGCACTCCCCGTGTAGTAAATAATGACAAGTGCACGTTAAATCTGTTGGGGCACAAAGTCCACCATATTTCCATAACAAATATCTCTGAGGGTACTAAATTGGAGATCGATAGTTCTCTATTTCAGATAAAAATTTACGATATTTGGATGAATGAATGGGTCTACCCCATAAACGGGCAGTAATTTGTGTGTGTGAATGAAGTCGTATTCTTTGCCATAGATGGCACCACTGAAAAACAAGAAAAGCACCCTCTGCCTTAAATTTGCTTGGTTTCACCAAGAAGGCTTGCTGGTATTGGCAAGTGGTATTAGAAACAACAACAAAACAATGTATTACATTACTTGATTTTTATATTCTTCTTGGGGTAAACAATCCACAACATCTACACAGCCTAGTAAACATCCTGTAGGATATGTTTGAGGAAAGGCACAGTAACCTGTAAAAAAGAATTTTTTTTTTACAGGAATTAAAAAAAATATACTATTAAAATGCTAATTACTGTTAAGCAAAAATTAATGTTTAATTTCATTTATCGTTCATTTAAGTTATTTTTTTTATTGGTTACTTGAGCTGCAATAACACAGTAAAGACATTGAGCTGTAATAGTGAAGAATTCCAAATTCTTATCCCCAAGGCAGCTTGGAACCTACTCAGCTTCATATCAATGGGTATAAGATTGTCCAGAAAGCAAAGACTGCTATGGAGCACAATGCTAACGAAATGTCTTTAATCATATCANATTTAATCTAAAAAAAAAGTAATACAATTCTTAAAAATAAATTCTGCAAATATGAGCAAAAGTTATAGAAAATTTATTAAATATTTTTCAACATAAAATATATAAATCTTTGCAAACAATTTCAAGTTATTGTTTTATTCTAACATGTTTGTCTGCATAACAACTTTTTTCCTGCTTGAAGCACATTACTATCCAATTTAACTGAAAGAAAGAAAAAAAAAGTAAAAACACCAGATATTAATTAAAATATATTCATAAAAATAAACATCAAAACTCTACTCACATAGTTTATGCTGTCCTTTCATAGGAATTTTCAATTTCAATTCCTGCGGATTTTCACAAATAAATACATAGGGTGAAGCACTCTCGCCTTCAGGAAACTACATAAGAAAAGAAAAGCTTTGCATTCAAAATAAGTCAATTATATCTCCAATAAAAAAGCAATTATATTGTTTTTTTTTATAAAGAATTTAACAAAATAAAAAAATATTTTTTATTCTTTTTACAGATGTTTGTTTTTAACATTCCAATAGGAATTTTTTTTTTTACTTAAAATACATAAATATGTCACATTACTAATATCTATCAATCTTGTCTATCATTGCAAAAACTACCAAGTGAGCATATTTATGCAAAATATAACATCGAATAGAATAAATTAAAAGAATAAATTACATGCTTCATAAAATGATCAGCGCCGGCCGAGTGGTCAGCGGGCTTGACTGCGAAGCCAATGGCTGTGGGTTCGAATCCCGCTTTGTGCATGGATGTTTCTCTCTCTCTAAGTGTTGTCTTCTGATGTATGAATGTGGCCCCACCCTATGAACGGGGTAATTGTGGCAGTGTGGCATGGGTAATGTTACTCGCTTCCGTGACTTTGGTTCACAGGTGCCCACTGGGTAACGATAAATGAGCAACACTTCTGGCATCTTCTAAGGCGAAGAACAGAAGTTCAGTGCCTACCGTTATTAAAAAAATAAATAAATAAAAATGATCAGCATTTAAAGTAATTATATCTTAAGGAATTCGCTAATAAAGACACTTGAAGAACGGAACTTTGGTTGTATTTCAGCACTTGAAGCAACTTGAGGCTCATTGTGAAAATAAAGTATTTTGAAGAATTTTATTTTTTATCAAGGGTCGAGAAAAAATATAAGTATTAAAGTAGTGAAAATGAATTGACACAACAAGCACAAAAATATTTTGAACCCAACAAAAATTGCAAAAAAGAAACTAGATAATGTCAAGTCATCAACACCTATGGTGTGACTCTTAGTCAACATACTTAAGAATGACTAACTAGAACCACTAGTAATTTTTTAAATAATTTGGAAAGTAATGGTTTTACTTTTAATGTAAAATTTTTTTTTAATGGCGGGCACTTGGGATATATTGCCGCATTGGCCTCATATGCCAGGACTGCTACTCTCTTCTCGTTACCCAGCGGACACCTGCAGCGAAGGAGGAGGAGCAGTGTTGCCCACGTCACACAACCACAAACCCGTTTATAATTTTTACAATATCGAAGGTAAAATTAAAGAAATGATTAAAAATTATTAGTTTTTTATTTTCTTTTAATAGGGCTAGATCAAGACTGAGTTTCCCCAGTTAAGCTTTTTTACTAACTGATGGCCTCAGCTTTCCTTTTTTCTGCGCATTAAATAAGGGCGTAGTTTGTTTGTGAATTTCAGTTTGGTTAAGGGTTTTTAGAAAGTTGTGTGCTTTGGTTTGAAAAAGGAATATTCTTAAGTTTTTTGAACATTGTTTTACTTTTGTAATTAGTTAATGTATTTTACTTTTGTTTTTGTATTCTCTTTTCCTTCTTCCTGGACTTTTTTCAAAACTTTTGGGGTACAGAGAGAGCAATTTTTAGACAATTGTCATGCTCTCTCAATAGAAAAGGTTTTATGACTTCCACGGCTGGTACCCCCGGACGAGGTCAGCTTTGGTTGTCATTTTTATATTTATCATTGTTCTTTTCTATTAATTAGAACCAACTTTTATTTCTTCATAAAAGTTTTTTTATTTGTCAAATGCCAGTTACATTAGCCGTGAGGCCATTAAACTTCTTGCTTGCCAATAGCGTTGAAATATACAAGAAAAATCTGTCAGTGCTTCACACTCGTCCAAATGTTCTGCCGTCATTGGCCGTCCACTATCACATATAACACACAAAGGTGAATTGACTAGTCCAATGCAAAATAAATGATTCTGTAGACAGTCATGCCCCGTTAATAGTCTAAATGCTGCAACCGCAACTGATCGCGGGTGGTCAGGAATAAAAGCTGAGTTTTTTAAAAGAACACTCCAAGGCTTGCCATCGCAGGCCCGAGTGGCAAAATTTCTAAAAGTCTTTTGATATATGAGTGATGTCAGCAGTGTAATGGAATGGAGGCTTGCTTTAGTTTTGGGCTTTTGGAGAACCGCATCTCCTCTTTTGGCAAACATATCTGCCATCTCATTTCCATAAATACCGCAGTGTGAGGGTACCCATTGAAAAGATATCTTGCGGGAAAGTTCTTTTATGATTTCCTGGCACTGCTTGACTAACATGTTCTTACACTCTTGATAAGAGGAGATGGCCTGCATTGCTGAAGTTGAATCTGAAAGGATAATTGCTTTCTTGAAAGAGTTCTGTATCAATGATAGTTGTTGAAGAGCCACCTGGATGGCTTTCAGTTCTCCATCAAAATGCGTGGAGTAAGCACCTACGGTTACGGGTAAGTAGAAACTGAAAAGCTTGCTAAAAACTCCAGATCCAGCCCCCTGGTCCCTAACCTTGAGAAAAACCTCCCGCATTCCACTGGACTATCACTAAGCGCTGTTTGTCCATCGGCAAGATATCGTAAAATGTATCTCATTATATGTTTCAACAAGAAGCCAAGTTTAACAATGCTAATGTAATAAGACATGGTGACTAGTGTTTTTAAAAAGGGCTTATTTTCAATTTTTATAAACCCTTAAAGGTGCTTTTTTCATTGGGTGTTTTTAAAAAGTGCTTAATTTTCCCGTTTTGAAAATGAGATTTTTTTTTCTTTACCAGGTCGATTTTCACCACGTATTATGCAAAAGCACGCTTTTCACATTGTTCTATTCAAGGTTTTCACAATCCATTCAACCACCGTCCATTTCTGCGTCCTGTCGGTCCATAGCGTGTGAAAGTGCCAATCATTTTGCATGTTTGATTAAATACATGGGAATACACATACTACTGAGCAGAGTTCGGTGAGATTCTTGCACTCTCATGTGCAACTCTGCTGCATTTTGCAAGATATTCTCCATTTCAGGCTTCATTTTCTACCCTCTGATATCGAACCAAAAAACCTCTTCATCTTTTTATATTGGCTAATACAATCAAGAAAAGTGTTCTTTGTCAGAAACTGGTTATTTTATCATGATCATGGATCATGTAAAGTCTTTGAAAATTATTTTGCATTTTGTTAATGTATATAGTGCTAAAAAATATTTCTTCAGTGCTTAATTTTTGTTGAAAGATTTGGCTACACACTCTGTAAGAAATTATACAGAAAAAAAGATATACAGAAATTGATTTTTTTTATTTTTGTTGCACACTTTTTAACTGACTACAAACAAGTCAGGAAAATATACCCCAAAATAGAAAATATCAATAAATATATGTAATAAAAAATACTTTTGTATTAATAAAAGCATTAAAGCTCTTTCGTTTTCATAAAATGTCTTTGGTAAAGAATAGGTATAGAGATATTCTATTTTGGGACTTCAAAGCTGGAAACATACAAATGAATTATAATGAGATTTATGTTTCAAAGAAGGAGTTATTTTAAAAGATTTTCGATGATGTGTAGGGTTACATGGTATGCATGACTGGGCCTTTTTACCTCCTTTTGTTGTAGTATTTAATGCAGGAACAACAGTTTTTGCATGACTTTTGCTGTATGACGTTTTCCATGTAAACGGTACCAGAATTACCCGTATTGTCCACCCCCCTTCAGTGTAGAGAATGGGTGTGAATTGCTACAGTCACCAGCCTACCTTTAAATAAAACTTGTAAAGAAGTATTTGGTTCATGACTTAATTATTTGAGCTAAAAACAACCCAAGATAACAGGGGTGTAACCCTGTTATTATATATATGTCAAAACTAACAAATAAAAATTCACTACCTTAATATGACATATCATTTTCTCATAATAAGCGCTTCAATTTTCAAATACTAACATTTAATATTATAATAATTAGAAACAATTATAATTTTAGAAAATATAATAAGAAATAAGACAGTATAAAACTTTATCACCCGAAAGAATTATAATAAAAGTTTTATTCTTATAAATGATTTCCAAGATTAATGTGAAGAAATTTTATGAATCATAATATAATTTTTTCTAATGTTTTATATATATCAGTTCAATGAATACTGATATATATATGTTATATATATCAGTATTCAAGTATATATATCAGTTTAAAATGTAATATTTTTATTAAACCGTGGCATTACAATATGAAGGGGGGAAAATGGTTGTATAGTTCAACTTCTTTCTTTTAAAAAACTACATAAAACATTTGCAAGAATTTCATTGAAAAAGTTACAAACATAATCATTTTACTTGGGTGTATTTATTAGAAATGCTTATAAATATATATTGGCAATCGAGCACTTTATACCTAAACATAATCAGTGAAATAATGCCCTTCAATTGTTTCAAAATTTTAATCATATATTTTTGAATATAAACTTTTTTGAAATACAGAGTTTTTTTTTAAATGCAACACCTATCAGATTCTTTATTATTAGAAAAGTTGCAGAGTAGAATTTCTCAGCATCTAAGCCATTCTTAAATGTTGATAGCTTCTACTTGTTCAGGACAAAAACTGAAATGTTACTGTCAAGAATAGTCTTTTTTAGAGGGGGGGAGGGAAGGACTTTGAAAAACTCAAATGAAATATGAATATTATAAAATATTTCTGAATGAATAAATAAGTTCTTTTAAAAATAAATTGGACAAATCAATGCGGGGTCGGGATAGCCTGGTTGGTAGGGCAATGGGTGCATGTCCAAATGGTCACGAGTTCAATCCCCGCCAACTGAACACTCCCCGCGTAGTAAATAATGACAAGTGCAAGTTATACCTCAACCTGAACTGGGCGAGATTGATATTGCTATTAAAAAGTTAAAAAACAACAAAGCAACTGGGCACGACAGGATAGCAGCTGAGCTGTTAAAATGTCATGGTCCAGTATTTCTAAAACTAATTTATAATCTTATTACTGATATTTGGAATGCTGAAATTTTACCTTCTGACTGGAACACTGCCATTATGTGCCCAATATATAAAAAAGGTGATACCATGGTTTGTTCTAACTACAGAGGTATAAGTTTGCTTTCTACTACCTACAAAATCTTGTCAAACATTTTATTTGAGAGACTTATACAATATATAGACCCTCAAATTGGAAACTACCAATGTGGTTTTCGCAAGGGAAAATCTACTAAAGATCAAATATTTGCACTTAGACAAATTTTAGAGAAGACCAGGGAATTTGGTATTACCACACATCATCTCTTTATTGATTTCAAAGAAGCCTTTGACAGTATTAATAGAAATCGCTTGTATGAAGCCCTGGTTGAGTTTCAAGTACCACCAAAACTAATTAGACTTGTAGAAGCAAGCATGTCAAACACCGTATGCAGAGTCAAACTTTTGGGATCTTTATCTGAAGAAATTAAAGTAAATAATGGAGTCAGACAGGGAGACTCCTTATCCTGTCTTCTTTTTAATGTTGCTCTAGAGAAAGTTATAAGAGATGCTGAAATCAATATCAGAGGCAACATATTTTCAAAATCTATTCAAATATTGGCGTATGC